GCACAATATTTTTTGACATGGCATTCGCTTTTTGTATTTGTTATATTGCCTGTGACCTTTTTTGCCCAATCTACTAATTTAATTAATGGAGGCATCTTGTCGTTAGTCTCTCTAGCAATATCAGTCTACTTAGCCTGCCTAAGCTAATCTCTGCTGGACTTCCTAACCTGTGAAATTTAGATACTGGCATATGATTTATTCTACATCTATATTATTGATTTATTCTGCATGTTTAGCCAGATAAAGCTAATCACTAGCATATTTATTACATAGTAACGTAAGCCTGAACAACTAGCCTGCAATGTTCTCTATTACCAATATAACCTGTCTTACGCTAAAAATAAATAAATAAACAGACAAACACCACTTTAGCGAGAAATCAGGCATCTGGCATGTCTGAAAAAAATGCTCATTCATTAATTACATAGAGAGTCTCTTTAGGTAATGAACTCTCTATATGGAAATGTTCAAACGGAATGTGCTGAATATTATTTTGAGAATAAAAACGTAAATGCAAGAAAAAAAAAAGAAAAAAAACGACATGGATCAGGATCACAATTGGGAAACAGGGATCAGTATCAGAGTTCTGATCAAATCCCAGCGATGCTGTTGAAGCTCAGTGCGCCGGCAATTGCTAAATCGGTCACAACCCTAATTACCGAATCCTTAGTGTCTGGATACATACCCAAACTTTTGAAGACTGCGAGTGTAGTGCCTATCCATAAAAGCAGTGACACTACTTTGGTTTTGAACTACCGTCCAATATCATTGCTCCCAGTATTGTCAAAAATCTTAGAAAAATGCATCCATACGCAACTATGTGAGTATTACCAACAATCTAACTATCTGGCTCCTGATCAATCAGGTTTTCAGAAAAAAATCTATGAATCATAAAAAAAATGTGCTCAACTGAATAAGGACAAAATAGCTTCAATATCAGATGTGTAGAAAAAAGAAAAAAGGGATGCAGCTAAGAACTAAAATATAAAAAAGAAAACAAACAACACATAGTGATGTGCAGTTGGATTAATAACACACTGCAATAATGGTTGCACTCACAGGATTTAAATGAGGTTAGCGCCTTGAAATCCACTGAGGGATATTGCTGGACCGCTTCCACTGGAGGATGGTGGATAGTAAGCAGACTCAGATGGCTCAGGATACAGTCAGGAACCAAATTTTGAAAAAAGAAATGTATTTAGGCACAATTGCCCAATAAAATAGAGTATAAAAAATGAGAAAAAAATCTAACGCGTTTCGTCCAACGCAGTGGACTTCATCAGAGATAAAAACAAATTCAACAATGGTACATGAAACAAGCATGCATATAAACCCCCCTCAACTTCCCCCCTCCCTCTCTCACAGTCCCATTAAATACATATTGTAGAAGGAGTTGATTGAAGATCAATCAGGTGCGCCTGGACACTGCGTTGGACGAAACACGTTAGATTTTATTCTCACAAGGACTCCCTCCCGCTCCCAGTAATATGTGGTGTTCCCCAAGGTTACATTCTCAGCCCCCTACTATTCACATTATTTATAAATGATCTGCCTAATGTCATCAAATCCTCAAATGTACACATGTACGCAGACAACACAGTAGTCTATGCAAGCAAATCCAATCTACCGCAGCTTGAGGCTGTGCTCCAAGACCAGTTTACAGAGGTAGAAAAGTGGATCACAAAAAACAAACTCTTTAAAACAAAATCAAATGGCACACTGACCGCAGTCCACTCTCAAATACTTGGGTATGTTGTCAGACCCCAATCTATCTTTTGGCCTCCACATAGAAAAACTTGCATCTAAACTTTATCCAAAACTAGGTGCCCTGTACAGAAACAAATCCTGCCTAAGCCCTACAGTAAAGGAAAAGATTGTACAGCAAATGCTGATGCCAATCATTGATTTTGGGGATGTGGTATATGCATCTGCACCGCAAACCCACCTTAATAAACTTAATACATTGTATAACTCGTTCTGCCGATTTATGCCACCATGTAATTACAGGACCCACCATTGTGACATGCTAAAAGAACTAAACTGTCTGTCGCTGGAATCCAGACACACCCTTCATCTTTCCAACCTTGTGTTTAGGAGCTTTTCTGGGAGGCTCCTACTCCCCGGCTGTTCCCACCTCGTATAACCTCCGATCCAGTACCAGCACTTTATTTAGTGTACCTCAATACAAAAAAGAAAGCGGCCCAATCCTCCTTTTCCTACAGAGCACCGCAATTATGGAACGACCTCCCGCACACTTTTGTAACCGCAGGTGGTTCCCTTATTTACCACTAATGTCTTAAAGCATAGAACTTAGTAGGGCTAACCATACAGATATCTTAGCCATAATTTTATATAGTTAGTAAGAGATCCTCTATTTACCATATATAAATAATTGAGAATACAATATAAAATGAGGATTGTCTTGGAAGCAATAGTTTTGTCTTTTTGGATATTTATTATATAAAAATATAAATATAAAATCCATTATAGCAGAGTTTATAAGATTAAATTACATGCTTGCAAATATCATTAATAGGTTAACATACTCTTCTGAACATGTCATCATGTCAGCCTCTCTGTCATTTTAAGATGGAGCAGCGTCTGTCTCCAAGTCTCTCCTCTGTGTCTTAACATTTAAAAGTACACCTATTTATACCTCAGGTGTCTCCATTTTAAGGTTACCGTAGTTCATATTTATTATATGAAAAAGTAACACTTCTTTTACTTTTTTCATTTTAGGACCTCCCTTAATTTGGCAAACATACAAGGCCATAACTAAAGGGTGCAAACGTCATGGAAATTTTCCTGACTTAGTTCAAGATGGCATCTTAAAGTCTGAATAGGTTATCTGTTGTTTATACTAAGTCGTAAGTGTACAGTCGTGGGAGATTCCCGGATTTGGGGAAGTTCCATTAACTTGGGGTTACCACAGTATATTGTATACTGCAAGTCGGAGTATAGCCTTGAAGCTTGTTTATGCATTATTGTTATTGTAATTCGTCTGGGACAAAATGGCGCAAACATATTATGCACTGCGGTTATTGCTTAAAGAAACAGTTATGAAAAACAATACGTTCCATTTCTAACACCTTGTCAGTTTGCAATATCTCTTAAAGACAAAGTACACAGTTTAAGAACTACAACATTTCATTCTAAAACTTGTAATATTTACATTTGCCCATAACACTTTCAAATCTTCCCCTCTGTACATATCTCAAAAAAGAATGCACCTGTCTCAATGCTTTGTGGACCCAGGACATACTTGAAAACGAGAGAACTCTCAATGTATATTTCCTTGTAAAATATTTTATAAATAAATAAATAATATGCATGTTCTCAGCAGCTATGTTATTAGCAACTATATTATCAGCAACTATTAAAAAGTTGTTAAATAAATAAAGCTTCACACAATGGTCGCACCCCCATTTTTAAGGAAAAGAATTAGGCATAAAATCTGTGGCAATTATGCAGTAAAATACGGTATTCAATACCTGTTCATATGAATTTTAGCACTAGATACTGAATTATTAGATTATATTTTAATACACTGGAAATAAATCTTCTATATGACGTATCTACTGATTTCAAGTTTGACTCTCATCAAACTATACAGAGCACATTTTAATAGAGCTATGCATGGGAATTGCATACATTTGCATGTCTTTATTTGCAAAGAGTCCTCATTATTGGAATATTAATGGCTTCATGCATATTTTGTCTTTTATCATTCTCATTTCAGAACTTAATATATCCATAGCTACATTTTCCCCAGTTGTGCTTAATGGAAGACCAAACGGTTTGATTATTAGGGTTATTTAGTGAATTTGTCCACCAACCTAAAAAAGATATAATAGAAACTGCCCACGCAGCTGAATATGATTTATTTTTATTCAATCTGGCTATTTCAGCCTAAATTGTGTAAGCTTTTTTGCATCTTCTTAAAGCACTCCCCTAGTCCTTCACCATGTTGTTTCAAGTTTGAACTTGATGGACTTTGGTCTTTTTTTCAACCAAGACAGCTATGTAACTTAAGAACAAAAAATGTGACAATTTCATTTGTTGTTACACTGAACAATATAATATCACAACATAGCTCAATACTGAAATCTTAAAGACTCATTATCCATAGCAGATGCGAGGTTGCATACTGCATAATCATTGACAATACGACTACAGTAAATGCGAATTACACTTGCATAGAAAATCCATGCTTTACGTTTTCCAGTACCAAGGGAGCCAAGTACTGGATACTTCCAATTATATCTGAAAACATGCTTATATTTATATATTAATTAATTTAGAGGTCTCAACGTGCCATGTGATACCAGAGATGGTTCAGCAATAATAAACTGTTGTAGGTAAAGGAAATTAATAACTACATCTCAATTAGATTTCTAAACTTCCCTCTGGTTTTATGCCAGCATAAGCCGGATTCCCTTAAAAAAATGACTTACAAATGTCTATGTCGTCATTGTGATAATATAATGATGTTGCATTAATGTGACTATAGCACCATTTAAATAACATGCATTTAGTTTGATGTATCTGGTACTGTTATGATGTGGGATACAGCACTTTCCCGTGGGAAGTAGGTTTTGGGTTTGTTATGAAAAGTATTAAACTATCACTAACTCCTATAACTCTCTGCCAGTGTTCACCTAGAGACAGAGGTATGGGTTTTCAGAATGCAGTATGCCATATGTTTCCTATAACACTAAAGATCCCCTGATACTTAAATCTGAACAATAATATTATATTATAGGCTCCAGATTCCTAAATTACTCCCAACCCAAATCCTAGAGAAAATAAAATACTTCTAATGTTTCATTATTGGAGTGGATGTTGATGTGGGTGTAATGATCCTGTGTTTTTATAGATGCAGGGACATGTCGGTGTCTGTTGATGGACAGCAGGATTTAAAACTCTACATTTCGACTGTGATGTTCAAAATGTGTGGAGCGTTTTCAGCTGTAGCATTAATTACATTATCTATAAGGACTGATGTCTACACCACTAAGCACAGATTATGTCTGTGCTACATCAATGTCATAACAAATAGAATAATTTATTTCCAATACTTGATATTTGTTCAATTATGTAGCACAGACATAATCTGTGCTTAGTGGTGTAGACATCAGTCCTTATAGATAATGTAATTAATACAGGATCAGGAATTTTAGGAAAATCTGCCGGCTTATGAGAAGCATAAACTAGGTGATCATTGGCATTATTATATTAATTTCACTTTATGAAACAGTCTTACATGACATTGCAGGAAGTTAAGATACCTAAAATAAAGAATGCTTGAAAAAAGGAAGATGGCTGCACAAATCCACCTTCTTTTGGGTGATTTTATTCATATATTTCTGAAGACTGTAAAAGCAAAATTTAAAACAGCTAGTGGCAGGAAATACTACATATTTTATAAAAGTAATTATTCCAAGCAGCTTTTGGGGGAATAATTCCCTTTTATGTGTGAATACAATCTAATTAGAAATACTATGTGCACACAAAGAACTGCATGAACTAATTTATGCCCTTGTGCCTGTGGAGATTAATACATAAATCCCTTTATTACTGCTGTAAACGCATATTCTGACTTGGAGAGATGGAAGTGAATATCCCTCAAGGGAACTTTTGACCTAATGATCAACTTGTGCGGGTAGGTAGATAATGGAGTTTTTCTCTTTTTGTGTTACCAATGCTAACTTTGCTTTCTCATCGATTTAAATAGAAATGAGAGGAAAAACGTAATGTTCCTGGAAGGGAAACAAACAAACAAAAAAAAATCATTTAGTTTAACACTTAGCTTGTAGGTTTCATTAACAGTTTAATTAAGCAAAACTATAAGTATGCCATTGTTTGTTCAGGTAAAATAGAACTACTCGATTGACCTGTGTGCATTGAAACTAAAGAATTATACATAAAATGGTTTAAGAACAATGATTGCATTTAGTCAAACAATAACCCAGATATGCATAAGGACTAATACTTTGGAAAGGATCCTAACTCATCTGGGGATATTAGCAATATAATAGGAATACATTTTCCTTCTAGCATCCTTGATTACACTGTGGATGGAAGCTTAAAAACATCTCAGGTATATATTTTAAAATCATGTTTTCAGGCTACATGCATTATATTACAATATTATTTACAAAATAGAATTGTGGGTCAAAGTTCTAAGAGCAGCAATCAGTAGGAACATCATGTTGGCGTAATTTTAACTACTTTGCCCAACATCTGCTCTTTAAGAGTCTTGCATTGTTGGAGATTTTTTCCTTAACAGGATATTTTTTTTTTTTGTAAATATGTTTTTATTTGTTATTTGTTATGCACAAATAGGGGGAAACGAAACAGTGAGACTCGCAGGTCTCCGTTAACCTAGCAAGTACAATAACACGTGAATAACATGCGAAAGAGTTGGTTTCAACAAATGCGAGGATTGGCTTTGGAAAATGTGAATGATCAACATTTGGGCTCGCAGGCCCATATTGTGAATGGACTCATAGGTCCTTCGTCATATTATTTTCCCGTGAATATAATCTTTTGTTTGTTTTTCCATTGAATTAATTAACTGCGTGGCTTGCACGTCTTCAGTTACGTTTTACCTAGAACAATTATAAACAGTTGCATATTAAATTGGGCTTGCAGGTCTGCATTGTCGTCGGACTCGCAGTTCCCTTGCATTTGAAACGTGTGTGTGTATGTCCCTACTGTGTAAGCCTGTCTGCGGGAAGGTCGTGTGACAGTCGTGTGACAGCCCGGGTCACGTGGTCTGCGTCTTTCGTCCCTGCTCCTCTTTGTATTGGCCTGTCTGGTTTATGTGTTCTCCTTGTCTGCGTGTCTGGTCTTCTCGTGTCTGTTTTAGTGTTTAGTGGGCCCCTTAGTACTAGTAAGCCAGTGTTGCGGAGGGTGCTACAACCCCTGAGGGCTGTCTTCCCCTCTCCTCTCTGATTTTGTGGCGTCGTTTGGCTAAATGCATGGTGGTGTCAATGTCAAGTTAGTGAATTCTGGGTCGGTTGTCTTCAGGATCCAATGTGTCCAAGTGTTGAGGTACACTTGGAATGTGTCGTGAGCGGTGTGAAGTTCCTCTAGGGATCTCAGTTCCTCCATTTGTGTGAACCAGGCTCTCAGGGGAGGGGTAACCTGTTGTTTCCAATACTGTGGTAGTATCAATTTGGCCGTGTTCAATATGCGGATTGTGAGCGATTTCTTATACGCTGTTCTAGGGGTTTTGGTGTGGTGTAAGAGCATTGCTGCTGGGCTAAGTGGGAATGGGTCCTCTGTAAACTTTCCCAGTATTTGATGTATACCTGTCTTAACAGGATATATTGAGGTTCTATAGAACAGAGGATGATAGGTGTTTTTGTTTAAGAACCAGGCAAAAAGCTAATTTAAAGAGATTTGTATAAAAAAGGGAGTTATTTGCACCATAAACATGGTTACCTGATTATTACAATCGTTCAAGCATTGTACTGTTGAAGGACAGTACAACTGATTTATTTTTATTTATTTTAACACAAAACCTATGATAATTAAAATGAACACTCCAATCACCAAACCACAACAGCTTACTGCGTCCATCATCTATTCTATCCTCGCCAATTTGTTAAGGGCTGCATTACAGGGTTAAGCCAGGAGAGCTAACAGAAGCTCCTACTCAGAACCTTATGGCTCTCTGAGGATGGTAGTAGACGTAGGAAGTGCCTGGTAGAAGAACAGCCTGGCAAACCTCAGGTAAGCAGTCAAACCATTTAAAAATGGTTTGACTTGGTACAACGAGGGGGTGCCAGGTGACTTATGGCATCATAATCATTGCAGCGAGCTGTTGTAGATATGCTGCTTGGAGAGTTCCTTTAACAATTTTTAATAACCATATTAACAAGCTAATCCAACTATAAGACCAACTTTAACATCTTCAACAGACCAAAATTTATTTTGCCATTTTTGCATGAGTTTGCCGGTTTTTTTTTGTTTGTTTTTTAAAGCATAATTCGTTAAATAAGGTTTTGTTTTTCTTAACTGCCCAGGTCACAGCTCATCAGAGAAAGTCATGTTCCTCTGTTGGATCACGTTAGGATATACTATGACATATCAGTCCTTCTGCATAGAGTAGAATGTAAAAAAAAATGCTTGGCGTTGATTTAGGATATATCCCAAAAATCTAAGAGGTCACATATGGCAGGAGAAGCACATTATAAAAAAAAGAAAGAAAGGAAAAAAAAAAAAAAAGAGGAAAAAAAAAGAGAATGGTCATACAAATATGAACGTGATAGAATAGATACAGATGATCATCCCGAGTACTGGAAAATACATCCCCATACGTAGTGCCCTGGAGGGCGGGAGACTGCGAGACTTGGCCTCAATGTGGGGGGGTAGGCCGCGGACTCCCCTCATCCTACTGAGATACCTACAATTGAAACATTATTACGAAGTGCTGCCACACAAAGACCGTCTAAACCTTACATGGTTTGAGGACCTCTGCGATCGAGGTGCCCCATTAGATCACGCAATCTCTGCACTCTATCAAAACCTAACGATAGGCGAGATGACAACGGCCACCACTTTCCGACAACAATAGGAAGAACAACTCGGGAGGACGCTCACAAATCTGCAATGGGATAAAGCATTATTATGGCAACATAAGAGCTCCATGGGCTCATATTACCAGGAGGTGAATTATAAGTTGCTCTCCCTTTGGTACAGAACACCGTCTCTGTTGCTCCGAATCTTCCCAACGTTTCCCTTGGTGTGCTGGAGGTGCCAGGTAGAATGTGGCATATTGCTACACATATGGTGGGAGTGCAGAGACATCATCCCGTACTGGGAAATGATCAAGGAAACAGTGACAATTATCCTGGGTGACATACCGGATTGGAACGCGGAATTGGCTTTGCTACACAACCTATCCCGCTATACAAGAAATCGATATTACGCCACCTGTTAAACGCGGCCAAGGATAACATACCAGTACACTGGAAAAAAAGTGAAGTGCCTTCTAAAAAAGAATGGATCCGCAGAGTGGAGGACATTCAGGGAGCGGAAGAAACACATGCCTACCTGACAGGACGGGGAACCAGACACGCAGAGATGTGGCTACCCTGGTTCTTATACATAACCCGATACAAGTGGGATGGGGATACCCCCGAAGCCACAGACGGGGCGGCGGCGGGCGCAAACCCCACTTAACACGGATCACACCCTTTACCTTTTCACTTTCCCTTATACTCTACAGTCTCTTCTCATCTTTACCTACTAGACGGTCAGGTACCGGGGTCTGGGGAGTGGGGCCGGCGGGCCGACCACAAGACACTTGGAAAAACAAACCCAGGAAAAAAAAAAAAAAACGGTACCCATCCAACACCACGGCGACCGGAGACGGCCAGGATATCGGGTGTTTAGCCAGGGAACTAACACACATACTAAACATATACAAAACGTCATATAAGTCTACATCCCACTTCCCTCACGAAAATCACGATGCACACCTCTCCAATAGAGTACGGAGATCCAATACGCGATAGTGGATAACACAAGTAACAGCACCGTGAAGGAGTTGATGAGGGAATCAGGCGACATACAGGCTCCGTCATAAGTATATAAGATACCACCATTAAGAGCAAACGAACGATGCCGGATGGGACGTCTTCCTCACAACAGGGTAGCTGACTGTCGGACACTAATACTAGCATCAGTGGGAGGATTAGACCCCGAGTAATAAACATAAGATTACTTAGTAGTTGTAAGCTTTAATAATACAATATTGAGACCACAATACCGATAGGTGAACTCCACCGTCTCCATTTGATGAGGCCTCAGGTACCAGATTATACTCACTATACTTAGATTTAGAGACAACCACGGAAATACATCAAGTGGTTGGGAATTTCTGGCTCACAGAATGGAACCAAACGCGCAGGTAGATTTATTATGTCCCCTTGCTTTAACCCAGTGAGAACCCATGGAGCGAGGAATAAAATAACCTGAAAAGTGGAATACTACCATAGCTGAAGTTAATCTGTATGAAACATAACGCAGGGGAGATCTATCCCCACATTTGTTTATTGAAGCTAACAAGGACCTGCGAGTCCAACATGTCTGCATAATTTAGGACACCCTTCCAAAGTTCAC